AAAAAGAAACCCCGGGCGACTCAGGCCAAGTGAATTTTGCATATTAGCAGAGGATAACATTGCGTGGGGGAGAAATATGTTTGCTGGCATTGTAAAAACGCTGCTCACTTCTACAAGAACGACAACTCCGAGAGCAGGGCCTACTTACTACGGCTCGAAGGATCCGAGGACGTGTCCGGGTGCATTTGTAGTGCAATTGCCGTACGCGACAACGGAGGCGTCGGCCTTCGCAGTAAACTTCCCATCATCCCACTCGCAAAATGCAAATGAATGGGCCACGCCTTCGAGGTCTACTCCCAAACAAAACAGCACCATCACCTTGCACTTGTCAAAATTTTATGGAGACTATTCTATGATATTTTAATAATATTTTTAAAAATAATATAGGTTTATCCACCTAAAGATTATGCCTTGTCTAGATTACTTTAGCATTTATCAGTTTTTTTCGCACAGTGTTCCAGTCTGTAACATCTTTTTAGATAGAAGGCTTTGGGGGTCCTTCGGCTGAATGCGAAGCAGCTGCTGTAGGCGTTGCGTTTACATTGAAAATTACCCCACTTACTATATAAAGTGTTGACAAACGAGCTGACGATGAGCGCTCACAGGAGAAAGATAAAAAGATGAATTTGAACCAACAGTTCCTGGGGGTAAACAGAAGCTTGAAAGCTCAAGCTTAATCGAAGAAAGTGAGCAAAGTCTAACAACGTATTCACATTAATGATATAAAATTAATACAAATTGATCAATTTTAATCCTATTTTAATAATATTAGTCCTAACAATTAGACCCTCACATTGTTAGTGAATCATTTCCCCTTACAATTCCCTTGAATTCCCAGTAATCCTTCGAAGCAAGTGTTCAGGGGTTAAGTGCGCAAACCGCATTCCTTTGTACCGGCCGTACGGGTTGCGTATTAACATAAATCGAATACGCGGCGAAGGATGGCAGGACTCGTCTCGTCGACTCCTTTGACACTCGCAAATCACTCAACGCCATGATAGATGTATTCAGTATATACCACCTTTCGGCCCAACCCCGTCTGGCCGCCGCATCGTTTAACGCAATAGCGGCAACTATAAATTTTAAATTAATTTTGAAGTGCAGCCGTAGCCGGAGCCGGAGCCTGACTCCCGGAGCAGTCGGCGCACATTCGGCAAAGGGCAACCCATCAACGTGGTCGCGCTGATGGGCGAAGGGTGGGGGGCGTGGCACACAGGGACTCCGAAGTGACGACACTCACATGACACGCATTTTATTGCGCGTCAGTCGCCGCAACTGACAGACAACGGAGCTTTTGAGTTGGGTTCCGTCCTTTAATGCCCTTGCGAAGGATACTTTCAAATGCCACTTTAACTTAAACACCAAAAATGGAGTTTGTCCAAAAATATTAACAATATTATAAAAGGTATCCAATTTTTGTTTAAGACATGTGCTTAATAATACAATTATACTCTACTTTAAGTTCTTAAAGAACAGTATGTAATGTGGCGACTATGGAGTCGAAGGACCTTTATTCTTTTTGAGTTTTTTGGGTCTTACTCGGATGACGACTCCTGGCTTCTTGAACGCTTTGTTGTCTGTCATTACAAGTGCATAAATTATTGTAACCACATTTGGCGGCGACGGAGAAAAGCAACGGAGCGACTCGAGCCGGCAGTGGTGGATCCATGGTGGTGCAGTGGTGGAGCTGCTACTGTTGGCGTCACTGGCGGTGGCCATTCCAACAGTTGCCAGTTTTCAGTTGCTGATGACATGACAAAATATTTTCCCATCTGACTTTTGTTCGGAGCTCTTCCTTTCCCCCACTCGGGCTTCTCTCGATGGCTGCAAATGTTGCTTTTGACTTTGATGCCAAAGCCACGCCAAATGTGTCACTGCCACCCATTCCCACCAATACCCACAGCCGTTCCATGCCACTTCCAGCTACCCAGCATTTGCCACCCACCACCCACTGACCTTTATGCACTTGATGCGAGAAGGAGTTACGGATACACGCAGGGTGCGTGTGTGCATTCGGCTACCCCCAGCCGTTCCTTTGTGCATTTCATCGTAGATTCTATCATTTTCTACTCGCATGCTTCAGCGATTTTTGGAATTTTCAATTTGTTCAAAAATTTTCGTAACAACGTCCAATGTCCTCGCCGCCCCTTACTCCCTTCAACAGAAATTTATTGGGTTCGGGACGGAACTACTTTTAAGTAGAAACAGAGGACTTCTATTTCCATGAAACTATTTGTTCATTGAGGCTGGATAAACAAAAACAACGAGAGATTTATGAATTTTAAGTATTGACAAGAGAAACAGTTATGGCGTTTAATAAAACCATTAAGTTTCGAAACAATGACGGTATAATGAAACTCTAAAAGCTATATTTATAGTTCGAGTTAATAAATTAAGGAAGGACACCTCGGTCAATACATAATTTTAACAAATGAATCATTTAAAACTATCACAACTTTCTATCATGTAGTAATTGGCAATTCATGATAAATGTCCCTATTGGCTGTTGACCAAGTCTATTTTATTTTCCATCTCGTGTCTGACCTTTTCAACCCGTATGTATCGATTCACCCACCCAGAAACGAAATCAAAACTCAATTTGCCAAACGCCAAGCATTATTTTATACTTATTAACCCAAACTGAGCTCAGCTCCAGTCAAAATTTATGGCTGGTCAAGGAGGGCATAAATATAACTCAGATATGTATTTATTTTAAGCGAAAACTTTTGCCATTGCAGACGCAGCATGAAGACGATAGATTTATATTTATATTATCGAATCTGAGGCAGAGGCAGAGCACTGTCAATAATAAAACGCTTGATAAATGCTTAGAAAATGTGCGCCAAAATGTTTTACATGCGGATTAACGCAATAAATTTGATGCCCAACAAACAATGGCCCAGAAGATTTGTTGGCCAGTCCGCAGACACAGGCGTTTTGGGTGGGCCATGAAAAAGTTTGATTGGAAAACATATTTGTGATTTATTTGGGCAAACATTTAATAAATTGCCCTCCGAATATATTTATTTGATGCAACTTTGTTGAACAGAAGTCTTGGGGCCGCGTCCAGTTTGATAGGGGCCTATTTCCCCTCACTTAGCCCATTAAATCTCTGAGCTTCCTACACTGGGCAAATAACTTGATTAAAAAACCGCAAAAACCAATTTGAGGGCCCCCAATGACCGCAGCAACTGTTTGGGGAGTGCCAGTCCAGTTCCTTCCCTTTTGGCCACTATGTTATGGCCGCCGCAATCCGATTCAATGTGTAATTTAACACGAAATGGAAAGCGATTGGCAGGAATGTCCGTGTATGCGGACGTGTCTGAATGGTACGACCTGCACCCGCTCAGCACCTGCCCAGTCGACTTGAACCGCACACCTGGCCTGAGTGCCGGGGCGTTCCTCGTTCCGCCCGAGATGACTGCTGGCTGCCGGGTAGTCGTGGGTGTCTATCAGTGACCTCTGGGTTTCGGCCGGCCAGCCGCATTTCTAGGCCAGTTTATGGCTGGCACTGGAGTTTACCAAAATCACACAATCCCCCGGGATTTGTCTTAGTGCGTGGTAGTTATTTGTTCAACCATTCCATTCGTTGAAGGCTTTGCAAATAATTCAATTTGGGAAATCTATTTGAGGCAAAAGATTTTGACGAAAGCGGTTTATTTTTGGAAACATCTATAAACATGAAATCTAAGAAAATGGAAAAAGTAATACTTCTACAAAATATATCAAAAGTACTATCGCTTAGATTTGAAATTTTAGTTTTTATTCATGGTTGAACTACATTACTCATACGCCCCGTTGTTCGAACATTCGCATCACACACTTAAGGGTCTTATAGTTTTATAAAGAAATATTCTATAATGCTTGTGTTTGGTCATGTGAAGCCTCAATCTGAAAACTGAGAACGAAAACCCATTTGAATGTCGGGAGGGTCCACATTTTCTGCAGACATTTTCGATTAAAATGCGTTGCATACTTTTATGCGCATATTCTCACAATCAGTCACTCTCTTACACAAACAAACATACACATACTGTGATTTCCATCAAGGACTTCCGCCAAGCCCACTTCACCAGAACAAATAATTAAGTTTTTCTCTAATTTTTTTTGGTTATGTTCTCGTAGTTGGTCTCGGCTCTTTCTGGGCCGTTTCTGGGCCCCCACTCCACGACACGTACCTCTCAATGGGTAAAAACTTTTTGCATTTTATGTCCTGTGCCCACTAGCCCCAGTCCTCATCCCGCAACCATCAACAGCCTCGGTGGCACACATCCATATACAAACAAAGAACGGTGCATAAAATGTTTGTAAGTGACGTTGAAATTGAGACACTTGTCGCTTAATTGTTTTTCGAGTTTCCACACATAAAAAAGGGGAAGGCAACCAAAGAAGTAACTTCATCTGCCCACTTTTCCTGCAAGCTCTCTGCCAGCTATTGTTGTTTTTGCTGCCTGCCCTGAGACGTGCTAGGGAAATTGAAAAAGGTTTTGCCTTTTGCCTTTTTTTAAGGGGGGAGAATCACTTACAGTCCCCGGATCCGGCATTGGATCTGTTCTGTTTGCTCGACTTCTTAGACTCCTGCGTTGTGTCTGTGAGGGCGTGGCTATGGGCAGAATTGCATTCGCCTGTGGTTACTTGTCTGCAGATTATTTTAAGTAATTATCAAGCGATTTGCGTAAAGGTCTCAAGAGCTCTCAACTTCTGAAGAGGTCTCTGATGACGACGCCGAGATGCCAAGGGGATGGGCGTGAATTAAACATGTAAATTTAAACAGCTAAGTGGAAGACAGTTGCATGTAATTGCGGTGGAATAGTGCCAGGGCAAAAAGGGTATAAAAACTTTTATATTCCAGGGCGATGAAAGGATGCAATTAAATTCCAGTTAGGAAATGTTGTTTCAGCCATTCTAAGATACCTATAGTACTGTGGTACTCTATAATTACCAGTTTCCATTTCGTAGATATATCCCAAGTACTTCAAGCTTTTTTACAATTTTTTTTCATATTCTCCCTTTATTTTATCGTTTCATTATTTATTTTTTAATTTAAGTTACATTAGTCTTTGCTAACAGCATAAAGAGATGGTTTTATTTATGTAATACCATATCTTTATGCTGTTTTGTACACTTTTCAACAGCCTCTGGACGACAAGGAACGCAGCTCTGTGGAACATAGAAGAAGGTTGGAAAGTGGCTACCACAGCTGCCAGTGTAAACCATTTCCGGTAGACAAGGACCCATGGGACCGCATCGCAGCTTATAGGAAATACAACAGATCCTGTCCATTTTGATTTTTTTCAGTTGCACACAATGTTATCCTCCATAAATTCTGAGGTGAGGACATTTAGCTGTAGCGAGTGTTGAACGATCCACGGTCGGCTGACTTACCTAAACACAGAACATTTAATACAATTTCGTGTGGTTTGCGGAATCTATTTCATTTTGGAAAGGGAGGAGACTGAGTGACTGACTATTTGGCTGTCAAGCTGTGACATTAAAGGGTGAGCCTACTGGGTAGAGCTCTGCCTTGGAGTTGGCCTGTTGCCTGCCGTATGTACAACATATTACGACCATAATTAATACTAAATTCCCCAAAATGGCAACGGACAACTGTCAGCTGCAAAATCATTTGCGGCCAAGGAGCAAGTGCAGAGTATGGTGAGCCCTGTTTTTGTTCCCTGTCTTGTCTTCACTCAAAAAAATCCAGTCTAAAATTAAGTATAGCATTCATATTAACAAACACTTTACTTAAAGAAAAAGATAGTATTTACAATTATTTAAATTTTATAGTATATATTAGGTATTTTATTGTACACCTATTTATATTTCAGTGTAGACTCCAAGTCACTCATCTCATGGCTTTGAGCCGTGTTCGTCCAAGGACTGAAACTGCAGCTGACTTATGCGTTGCGTCGTTCTGCAGAAAATTATAAAATGTTGCCCTGCCGCATTTTCCACACATCGCACAAGTCATGTCCTGCAGGCTTCTCCGTTCGCCATAAACCGATGTGTCCTGCTGCATTAATTTTCTTTTTTACGACTCGTAATCAAATTAGCAAAAACCAAGAAGAATTAAGGTCACATCTTGCAGATGGAATTTCAGGAGCATTCAAAAGAAAAGCTTTTAATCGGGAAGAAAACTAATAATTCATTGAAGACTATAATTTAAGCAAATAGTAGAAAATTAACATTGAGTGGTACCTTCCTAATACTGACGATTGACATTGATCCAGGTTCTATACCTAATTCTGATTACCTAAGAAAATGTGCTTTGGAGGATAATTCTATACCGCAGGATCAAACGCACTAATTGAAGGGGTCTTTCCTTGCTGCAGGGGATATATGCTTACCTCCTCTCCCTCGTAATCTTGCAATTTCCTCAATCAATATATCGCATCACTGTTGGGGAGAAACCGAAATTTCAAGTCCCTGCCCCACCGCATAACCCACCCGGCCACGTTGCAATCGAGTTGGGTTGCGGAGCCGCAAATAGACAAGCACTCCTTCCAGTTGAGTCACCAGGATTTTGGACTAAAGGAGGGGCATACGCACTGGCGTTTTGGCCATAATTGGCTGCCTCGAGTACATGCGTGTGCTTGTGGGTATGCGTATGAGCTGTCTGACGTTTATGATTGTGGCAAACAAAGGCTACGATGACTGCACTTGAAATTGATAATTATGTTGCGCAATATTTGTGCACCGACCGCATCGTATCATTGTTTGCCTCACGATTTATTCTATTCATTCACAAATAAATTAAATAAAACACTGATTACTATTGGATGGACTCAGGGAATGCCTAAGCTATGACAAAACATATTATGAAAGTTTCTTTTGGTAAGCAAATGCCAGAAACATTTAAATCAAAGTAATCTACTTTTTTTTTATTAAAGGTTAATTTTCTGTCAAAATCTATTAACCTAAGAATTGTGAGGTTTTCAATATTTTCCACGCACTTCGGTTACGAAACATCCAGTGGCTTTGGAGACCATCCATTTGGCAAAAGCATGGCTGCAAAAATGGTATCAAATACATGACATTTGGCCAACCGTTGTGGGGTTGGCCTCCCTTGGCCAGTCCTCCGTTTTGGCTGAAACTAAACAGTACAAACAGGGCTGTCAACAACTGCAACATTTACCGCATGTCCACGTCCAGCTCGGAGCAGGATGGCAGGATGTTGTGGTTTCCAAGGGCAGCCATACCGCATCCCCTGCCCGGATTAGCCTCTTAGTGGAACAAGAGAGGCGTCCAGTACACCCCCACTCTGCCACGAACCTTTTCCTAATTGATTAAATGCATTTTATGCAATGCCCGCCCAGTTTTTGTGGGCGAAGGTTAATAAAAAAAAAACGCAAAACTTTGGGGTAGTATAAAAATATATTTTGTTTATTGACGGAGTATATTTGTATGTTTGAAGGATGGGGCCTTCTTTTCAATCTTGTATGGATCTTGTGGGATCTATCAAGGGTGTTCAGGATAGGTTGTACGATAAGGGGACATTAGAGTATGTTAGTCTTCTGCTGTTGGGTTTCTCTGTGTTGGATGGCTTTTGCACTAGAACTACTTTGTGATTGGGTTTGGGATCTTTCAGGATAGCTTGTACGAGTAGTTGTTGGGAATTTAATCGAGGAACTTTGAACGTTGTCAAGTTGGCTTTGGCATCATAATTTAGTTTTTAGATTGTTTCTTGCTTCAATACTTAAGGATCTTCCACGATAGCTTGTACGAGTAGTTGTTGGAAACTAGGTTTGGGATATTTATTGATCTTATTAAATTATGATCAACCTTTAAAATTATTATTAGGAAATTAAATTAGGAAGTATTTTTTCTTTAAAATATTTCAACTTACCCAGTGTATTGTTTTTTTAGTTTTAGATACAAAAGTCTTTTTGTTTAATTTGTTTGTAATGAAAATTACAGCCTGAAATTCGGACACCTATCGATTATAGTCTTTCAAGAGCCGACTCATAAATTAGAATTTGCATGCGATATCTATTTTTACTATGGGAACCAATTCCTTCTTTTTTCTTTGGAACCATTTCTGCAGCATTTGGGACGGAATTTATGAGTTGACTAATTTTATATGAGTTTCCACAAAAAACACACGAATTTTTCTCCAAATCAAATAAGTTTTTTGCCATTTTCAGAACGATTTTGCCAAATAAATAAAAAGGTTGAACCAATTTAAATATTTTTTCTTCGGCTTTATTTGGGCAAAGCAATTCAATAATTTATTGCCCAAAAATATCTATCTGTATTTGCGATAACAGCTGCTGCAAATATTTAATCAAAACGCTACAATTTAAAGGGAGCCAAAAATGTCCAATAAAAAAGGAAAACAAACAGAAAATTGTGTGACAAACGGCAGCCGACTCTCCTGCGAAAAAAGTGAGTCCCGAGGGGTGGCAATGGTAACTGTATTATCACCTCAAATGTGTGTAATAAAGTGCCGAGGAGGCCTCTGACACAATGAACTTTTTTCCCCATTCCCCATCCTCCGACCCATAGGAGAGGAGAGAAAATAACCGAAGGGTAGCATATGACAATGGGTAGCGGCTACACCCAAAACCCTGAATCAAAAACCCCCGCCATAACAAAGGCCCAAGCCAATGGAGTTATCATTGGGACCCAGACAAGCGAACAGACGGCGGCTGGGGACCATCAGACACATGCGCAAATAAATAAATTACACTTGGGCGGTGGAGTCATCTACTTAGTCCCCACAGGTGGAGGACAACCTCCTAAATAAGCACTTCAACGCAAAAAATAAATAAAATGATGCTGGCCTAACTTCAAGCTAAAGTCTTAAAGACAATCACACTCATATAAATCTGTTATATTTTTAAAAACGAAAAACATTGCCAACATTGCGTTGGCATTGCCATTATTTTAGTCTGTTTGAAACTTAGCTTGCTTGGGAAAACTGTTCATAGAATTAAAAAATTATATTCAAACACACAAGAGCACAGAAAATCTGAATTAATTATTGCCCAGTCATGTCCAAGCCCACCACTATTAAAGATGCCCTTACTAAGTGGGAGGACCAAAACAAACAGGAGGCGGCCACTGCCACGGAAATAGGGTTGCAGTTTCGCTACCCACCCATTGAAAAGATGGACAACACCCTCAGCTCTCTGACCGAATGCCAAAGGTTAAGCCTCTCCTCGAATATGATCGAGAAGATCTCTGGAATTGCAGGAATGAAGAACTTGAGGGTCCTGAGCCTGGCCAGAAACAACCTAAAAACTCTAAACGGCATTGAGGTTCTGGCCGACACGCTTGAAGAGCTGTGGGTCAGCTATAACAACATCGAGAAGATCAAGCCCCTCGAGTCGATGAAGGCCATCAAGGTGTTCTACATATCCTTCAACCTCATCAAGGACTGGGCCGAGTTCATGCGCATCGCCGTGCCCCCGAATCTGGGCGAGATCACCTTCGTGGGCAACCCCCTGAACGAGAATATGGATCCTGCGGTTTTCGTAGCCGACGCTGTGCGTCGTCTGCCCAATTTGAAGAAGCTGGACGGGGAGCCAGTCATTCGTTAGTTGGAGATGTTTTCAACAACAGCAAAAAACAGAGGCCTGGTAATCCTAGCACCTTGTAAACCGAACAGAAAAATTCTAAAAACCAGAATTCCATTGACGTGACCTCTGTGTGTATTCAATTTTTTGCATTTCTTATTGCCAATGCCTAGACAGAGTTTTCCAATTTTCAAAGCGTTGTTGATGCTGCTGATGAGCTCCATTGTTTTGCCTGACCATGTTTTCCCTAGACTTTTATCTCACCCCTTTGAAAAATGTAGGGGGCTTTCATTTCACTCGAATAAACTCAGCATCTATATGAAGAAAAATATATCAATTTGTTCTCAATAAAAATCTATTTAAATTATTCATTAAATAGCTGAGCAACTGAGCTCCAATCTAATGGTTCGCTATTTTTATTTTAGAAAAAAACCTTAGTTAATAAATTTTGATTATAGTGTAAACCACCTACACAATGCCCACTACTTTGTTTTAGTTTACAACCATGGACAAGCTTAAACTCTTGTCTTCCTAGTCCTGCATTGTCCGAATATTTTTAAGTCAGAAGCAAGAAGGGAGAAAATGGGAAAAGCTAGAATTGGTAGGAAGCGAAGTTTATATACCCTTGTAGTATAACTGATATATTGTAGGATAATATGAATATGAAAAGTTTCCTTTTTGTCCAAACTTTGAGACCATTGAGCATTGACCAAACTTGAACATTGAGACTTAATTATTTCTATATATTCAGTGGAATCTTTTATGGTATAAAACTAAAACGATTAAAATAAAAATTTTGGTCGTTTTTTGACCAAAATCATGATGTTACCCCTATAAAAAATTGCGAAAATGGGGTAAGATTTTAGTTGACCAGTTTTTGATGCAGAATTATCCTACTAAGAGATCTATGATCGGGAAGGTATACCATTCATCGATATGACAATTATTTTCCGAGTTATGGATATTTTCCTGAAAAAAATCCCGCCAGAAAACCCTGTTGACCAAGCTAAGAACAAGATGGCCCAAATCGTTTCTTTTGAGACACTTCCTAGCCGATATTTTAGTTATTTTTTATCGGATTTGGAAAAGGATTACCATTCACTAATCAGGAAACTCATTGGCTTAAATCTGCATCAAAACATCACCCCAATCGAGAAATCAAATTTTTGTCGTTTTTTGGCCAAAATCATAGGGGTAACCCTATGAAAAATTGCGAAAATCGGGTAAGATTTTAGTTGGCCAGGTTTTGATGCAGAATTATTCTACTAGGAGTTCTAAGACCGGGAAGGTATATCATTCATCGATAGGATAATTATTTTCCGAGTTATGGATATTTTCCTGAAAAAAATCCAGCCGGAAAACATTATTGACCAAGCTAAGAACAGGATGTCCAAAATGATTACCTTTGGGACACTTCCTAGCACATAGTTTGGTCATTTTTTATCGGATTTGGAAAAGGATTACCATTTACTTATCGGGAAACTCATGTCCTTCAGTCTGCATCAAAACATCCCTAAAATCGAAAAATACAAGTTTTGGTCGTTTTTTGGCCAAAATCATGATGTTACCCCTATGAAAAATTGCGAAAAGGGGGTAAGATTTTTAAACACAGATGAAAAACATGATGTTTAAACACAGGATGAAGGCAATTATCTTGACACTTTTTATCTTGAATAAACGTTGACCGATACTTGTCGGATAAAAGATTTTTATACCTTCCGGATCTTAGATTTCAAAATTGTATCATTCCCAATCAAAGTCGGGAAAGCGACAACTATTTTCCAAAACTGGAAGTAACTGGAACTTTTTTCCAGTAATACCATGAAAATTAAAAAAAAGGTGTCTAAATAAATGCCACATAATTTAACAAGTGGATGAGATCGCTGAAAGTTGGTACGCATTTACTTTACATCATAAGGCAACAAGTTTTGTCCAATTTTTTTCACAAAATTCAACAAAAATTCCGAGTTTTCTATTTGCCTAAATAATTCAGGCAATTGGATTTATTTCAATCAACATATTCAGTCAGCATAACTCACATAATCCATCAGCAAACATCAATGCATTTTTATACCTAAACAAAAGCCAACAGGAAAACACGGAAAAGTGAAAACAATTGGACCCGTAGAGTCTCATAAGTTGACTTGGCTGTTCTCACTCTATTTGTTTTCTGTGCATAAATAATCAACTATGTCAATGGAGGGGGCTGGCAGACAAAAAAACAAATAGTCAGACAGAGATTTTTGGCAAACAAACAACTAAACAAAATATATGAGTATGTGAATATTCTGTCAGACAGGCCGAAGGACACCAGATAAAAACGTTGAACAAAATCATAAAAACAGCAGCCAAATTTCTGCCAAACCATAAGCAAACCAAACCCAATAAAGCCAATTGCCAGACACGAAAGTTTAATGAGACTTTTATGTCTTTTCGATTTAACAGCTTCTCTATTATGGTTGTGCTTGTTGTTGCTTTGGCTCTTTTGCTGCTGCTGTTGTTATTTGATAAACAATAATATTAATGTAAACATGAAGGCCGGGCGTAGTTCGACATTTTGGCAGACAACCAGCAAACGAGACTATTGTACAATTGGTTGCACACAAAAATATTTTCTGTCAGCCAAACGAAACGCTTGGCTGATTAGATGGGGAGGGATTACAAACAAACATTTGGAAAAGCTTTAAGATTAGTTGAATTTTCGTAGAACTAAAATTTGAACCATCAATGAAAATCAATCTTTCATCGCTGAGACTTAAAAATTTTCTAAAAATGTATTTAAGTACTATTATTTACAAAAAACTAATGCTTTTTCGCTTTGTGTTTTGGAACCTTTGGTGAACCCTTGATCTTTTTTATAACTAGCCGAAAAACAAATCTTACGGCAAGGAATATGGCCAAGAGCGTGCCAACAATAATAACATATATATCCAAATTATTGGCGGCTATGAAGCTCATGTGCACAACTGGACTTTGCAGATGGGGGGCTCCATGGTGGCGAATTACGTAGTTCACCCAGTACACTAGAGTATCCCGAGCACTCAGCGGGCGATCGCGGTATAATTCGGAGAACTTTTTAACTGCTATGGTATATTTGGGATTCTCCAGCACCTCCTTGATGCCCGCGGCAAAGGACTCCTCCTCCAGGTTGACCAAGCTTTCAATCACACCAAAGCCCTGCAGCTTCATGTCAGCAGCATTACCGGGCTGGTCTCCGAAAACTGGCAGGGCCAACATGGGTTTTCCGTGGTACTGGGCTTCGGTGACACTGCCCTTTCCGGCGTGGGTTATGAACATCTTGATGTTGGGATGCGCCAGGATGTCGTCCTGGGGAAGCCACTTGGCGAAGAGAATGTTCTCCGACTTGCCGGGCAGATTTTCAAGATCGTCCCACTTCCAAATGACCTTCTGCTTCAGTTTCGAGAGCACATTGAACATCTTCTTCACCGAATCTTGTTTCAGATGAGCTCCTTTCAGATTTGAGCCCAAACTCAGAAGGATGGCCCCATGGGGAGTGTCAGTGAGAAAATCCTGCAAGTTCTGGGGCAAGGGATCTGGCTGATCCTTGACCTGTATGCCCCCCACCTCAATCACTGCGGGCACATTGGGCCTAATAGGTCCTTCGCTGATTCCGTGAGAGGAAAAGAATATAAGGGAAATATTTTTTGCCAATTCCCCATAAGCGGGAAGAGTAGGATCATCCTGATACATGTCCCTGAAAAAGATATTCTTTAATTGTGAAAAGCTAGAGTCTATAATTAATTTTCTCACCTGTATGTCTTTTCGTTGTTGTACTCAATAATGGACATAAATGCAAAGTGCCCCAAGGCACCCAAAAGGTTGGCAAAACGCTTGCCAATACCCATTACTTCGCCTGCTTTGATTGTCGTAGTCATTGCCGGCACATAGGAGAGTTCTCTGGGGTTGGCCAAGATGTGGCCCAGAAAGTTTGGGGGATTGGAGAGAGCTAACACAAGTGGCACCTTCAGCCTGTGCGCCAAAGTGAAGTGGAAGCTGCTCATAAAATATCCTACAATGACCAGATCGATCTTATTGTCCTTGTTTTCGTAGAGATCCTTAACCAGCTGGTGATCCATAACCTTGGCAGTCTTGGAAAAGGCACTGCTCATTTTTCCCACTCGTTGGAGCATTTGCAAAAACGGGTTAGTGTTATCTGTCTTGGCCGAGTCAGCAAAAACGGAATTGAAGGCCTGCTTTTCATCCTCCGAAAGGGGCACTTGGATGTGGGTGATATTCTTCGGCAGGAACGGCGGCTTCAGGGCAGTCACCACTGTAACATTGTGGCCGCTTTCGGCCAAAATTCGGGCCATGGACATCTGGATAACCAAGTGGGAGGGACTCAGGCTGGCAAAAAGACCCACGATGTTGGCCCCATGGGTAGTGGCCACCAGGCACAAGGCCACAATGGCCACAAAATTTCTAATCGCGGCCATGTGTTTTCTTCAACTGTTACTCGCAAACTACTTTGATAAACTACTGGGCCTGTGGATTTTAAATGTTCCAGAATTTCTGATAAGCACAATCAGACATGTCTAGCAACTAAATAGTACGATTTTTACTCACTTACTCATTATCAATAAGAAAAAATTGCTCCGAAAAGATAAGAATCCGGAGCAAACACTATTTTACTCTCTTAAATTCTAGCGACAATTTAAATTCATAAGCAATGATGACTGTTTTTATTTGAATTTTTTAATCACACATTCAGTTGGTATCTTCAAATATTCCCACGCTTATCAGAATGACTTTTAATTATAGATTATAGCTGTCTGCAAACAACTTATGTGGAACTCTCTTAGGGTTCCTGTTAAAAAAATGACCACAATCTAGAAGGTCGATAATCTCTTTACTGATAAAGAATATAACTAGCAGAGAATTATATTTTTCTTTTTTTTGTATAGCTATGTTCTGTTTATTAATTGACAGACAAAACGCGTCACTTTATTTTATAGATTTCACAATTAATAATAAATTAATATTAATTTTTCAATGTCTGTATACGTCTATATGCTCAAAAAATATGCCATTTATTCATGATCAGAGAGAAAAGAATAAAATTTATAAATATCCAGTGAGGAAAGTCAATAAATTCTGTGTATCATTATATACTGATGCCAGATAGAAAGATCCATTCTGCTGGGGTGTGTCGATTAGGACCAAAATTTTTCAATATATATTTTTAATATAGAGAAGATCGTGAATGTAATAAAGAATTTAATAAAATTTTTAAGTTTTTATGTGAACCACAGCGTCGATTTTAACTTAAGCTAATTGCACCTTTTTTGTTAAAAACACCTCTGGGTAAGTAATGGTTTTTTCCAAACATCCTTTCGTTTTAAAAAATATATTTTTGTTGCCAAATGCCGAAGGGTGCCGTTTGAGGGTGTGTGCTTGTGAAAGCTTATACAAAATTTACGTTGCAAGTTTGTGTGGCTAGGCTCTGTCGTGTTGTTCTGGTCGTTGGCAACTCTGGCAATGACAACACCGAACCGAACTACAACACTCCTCTTACCAAAACTATCTCGCATGTACACACATACCAACACGGTGGGTCGGTGGGTGTGCGAAATTTCAAGTGGTTTTTGCGCTGTGGTTGCGCAATCGTTCGTTCGGTTTGCTCTGAGCTGGGTTTCATTTTTTTACACTCCTTCCTACACTTGCTGTGGTCAAGGGCTGTGTCGGTGTTGCCAAGTGTTGCCGTATATTCTAAATATGTCGGTTCGCCCCTGTTGGCCAGCCAGTTGTTGGGCCATCGGTCGGTGGCAAAACTTAAAAGTGGCCAAAACGACAGTTAAACGGCAGAATGGTCGAAAAGGCCACTTGGCAACCTAAACGTGTGATTTATGCCCCAATGATGATAAGAGACAATTGCAAAGGGAGTAAAAAAAACCGGAGAGTTACCAGACGGCAAACCGAGTTCAAAAGGACCAAAGTTAAAGGTTTTTTTCCACCTTTACACAGGTGTGCTTACATGTAGGGTAGATAATTTAGTTCTTTAAAGCAGGATTTCTAATTTTTAGAAAAAAATTATTTGGAAAGTTTTTATCTATGAGCCCATTGTAGCATTATTTATTCAAGGTTACTTGTCTGAAAATGGAAAAACTTTAAGATACTTAAAGCTCGCACAATACGCCAGTAATACTCTTTTTCTAACAGAGATTCGCATTCACATCTTGTGCCTGTCAAAGGAGCATAAATCTATTCAAAGTCTTTGCGAAAAATCCAGACAAATGCCAGAGATTACAAAAAGATTTCGGCCCACATGATGCATGGGGCCTCAACCGGAGAAGGAACCTACATATGTATGTATGTGTACATGTGGGCCCGAGTGTGTTGGCCTATCTGGCACCACAAACGTAACCGCCCAACGCACACAAAAACAATTAAAGCCTGATTAATAGTGCAGCGCACATTCGGTTGCTTTTCCACCTTTCGCCAAGTTCCCTTGGCCCTAAAAACCCCCCAAAACTCAGACTGCCATTCATGCTGAGTTATGACTTTTGCTGGCTGTTTAGCATACTTTTAGGCTCCTGACATTGTTCTCATGCCAAGATATGGATGTACATAAGTGTGTGTGGCCAACCCCGCGCATAAGTCAAATTGTTGTTAATTTCACAGAGTTAACCCTTAAACCAAAATAGCAGCAGCGACATAACATAAATTCATTCCCGTCCGTCTCTCCGTTCCCTATGCCATCCCGTCATCCCGCCAACTTTTTATCCTGCAACATAGTATAAATCATTAAATTTAATGTTTCCCAGGAGATCAATGAACATGACCGCGAATTATACTGGAGCGTGCTTTCAGGCGCATAAAAAGATTTCCCAACATAAAATGCATTTAACTCGAAAAAAAATCTGCATAAAAAGTTTCTGGCTTGGAGTTGCATTTTGTGCGGGTGGTTGAGTGTCTGTCTCACTTTACGGGATGCCAAAAGGGCAGCAACTCTTTAAACAAATTAAAAAAATATGGTAATGATATTGTGTTGCATGACTGATTGTCTAGACTATAAATTTATTGCACTGTTGTAAGTATTTCTATTAAAGTATCAGGATGATGCAAAGTTTTCCTGCATAAGTCTTATTCCTCAGGGTTTGAAAACTTGTTATTAATTGAAATATAATATTAAAAAATAAAGAATAATATTCCCTACCATTTTACTAACTAAACAACATCTGAAGCAAGCTAACACTTAAAAATCAAGTTCTTCACAGGAAGTCTGTCGAATAGAGTTCCGTAAATGAAAACATAAACTGCTCTTCCGGCCTTTTAAAGTGTGTTCTACAAGATGGAACACGACAAACAAACCAGCACACTCTTTTCATACATTTGTAGACTCGCACCCGGATTGTAAATCAAAAAGTTTTCTAGTGCAAAATAGAGGCAGCGCACTTGTAGATACTTATTTCAACGGCATCTGCCTGACACGCCCTCTGGAAGGCACTTTTACCAGCGTATTTGACATGAGAAATCATAAACAAGTTGTGCAAACTTCTGCTCGCTCGCATACACAAAACTCCATTTTGCAACAGGAAGTCACACGCACACCGCACTCACACCATTGCAGCTGGAAATGTATAAATTAAAATTTTCGCATCGCGCAGTGGCCACCAAAAAGATGCGCCCCTCCTGTAAGGGACAAGGCACTGCAGGCATGGGGAAAATTTTGCATTTTCCAGCGTTTGGTAGGAGGAAACAGTTCTGGTTTTGGCTTAGTAAGAGGTATTAGGGGTTACTAAGTTTTTAAAAAAATATATATATTTAAATATAAATTTAATAGAACAAATGTGCCTAGTCTTGAAAACTTAAGAAAACTTAACCTAAAATATTTTAGTATTATAATTTGTAGAGTATTTAAAAACTTATACTTATGTTGGGCCATATTTAATAATTTCCATTTTGTGTTTGTTTTTGCTTGTGTTTGACCAGAGCTCTGTGTGTCTGCGTTTCAGTCTTACATAAATAGTTTTTCATATTTAAATATTAAAGTTTTGCTATGCTTTGCATCATCTTGGCTGCCCTTTGCCGACCGAAAAGTTCCCTACCCAGCCCTCTTGGTTCGCATTATGTTTTCTGCATAACAATTAACTTCCGCTTTAAGCCGGGGCTCACAATCCTTCTGTTGCCGTTTGGCGTATGTTTAATTTCCGTCATTGCGTATACGCCTAGTATAGCACTAATAAACGGCATTTAATTTCACACAATTTTGCATTAATTCCCAAAGACTTTAGAAGACACTTAGCAAGCCAAAAGCCTTTTTGTCATCCACCGACTGGATCTGTTATTAATGCTGTGATTAATTGTCGTGCCTCAAGACAATAAGCAAGAACAATTTGTTTTCACTGACAACAAACTGTCACCGAGCTGATAAAGAGTATGAAATTCTTGTTGGTCTCCGGCAATTTGATATTCTGGGCAGAGGCTCGGGAAATATTTGGATTCATCTCTCCTGGCATCAAAGCAAACAGAGATTAAGGCGAATCCCGGAACGTTGTGTCAGGGAACTCTGGCTCTGGCTTTGGCTCACAACAAAAATGCTTGAGCTGACAATTTGCAAATTCGAATCTGCAGAATGCAGGCAATCCCAACATCTTACCATATACGAGCATATCTCCAGCAATAACAGCTTTACGGGTTATAAAATTCAATTATGCATATTCCCAGGCGCACGTGATGCCAATGCAAACAGATTCGCACATTTTAAGTGAAGCTGCCTCAGCATTTGTGGAACACTTTGTTTGTTATCCCCAACCGTGTGGCTTGTCCTAGCCTCTTCAGAGATTTGGTTCAGAGGTTTGCTGGCTCCCGATATCCTGCACTGGATATGAATGCAACTTATCGAATTAAAAGTAAGGTTTAGTTCAATTTGTAATTAAAATATATTCTACTTCTACAAATTATTCACTTGACAAAAAAAGACCCTCTTTGCCATAAATCTACCAATCCGATTTCTTGCTTTCTTGTTTTAGGATACTTAACAAATTGTTTTCTCTCGGACCTTACCCGGCCTCGTCCTGATTGTTTTTTATTGCCCGTTTTGTCATCTGGCCGGGGGATCCCAACCGCCCACTTCCTTGTCGCCGGGGCTGTTGTGCAACTTCCTGTTTCCGCAACGCTTCCCCATCTTCTTCCTTTCCTCCACCTCGTGTCCTTCAGCTTCCTCTTTCGTGCTTCGCTGATGTGTAAATTAATGTCATTTCGGGCGCGAGATTTTTTCTTTGGTATCTGCGTTTTTTCGGGTTCAGGGATGCCTGCCACTCGCTTTTGTGGTCTGATTGAATTTTTATGATGCCTCGCTTTGGTTTGGCGCTTTGCATATTGTTTAGCTTGTATTGTGGCTTGATGTTTTGTTCTGAACGGACGGGGATGCAAAAAACATAATTAAGGTGATTTTATGCAGACCCTACCCTATTCCACTCATTATTATCTGTGTTTTGGACTCTTCTG